AAAGCCTAAACCCTGCACCCTAACCCTCCCCCCCCGCCCCCCCCGTTGCGTTGCAGCGAGGTAAGCCTCGGTCGGGGCCCCCAACCGGTTTGGGGGTTTATGGTGCGGGGAGACAGGCTCTTTTCAAGAGGGGGCGGGGGGGGGGGGGGGGTGCGAGATGTTGCTCTTTGAAGAGTTGTGAGGGTCTGCACGTCGCACCGTAGTACATCTAGTATTTAGTGCAGTAGTACAGTTGTACAGGAGGAATACAGTGGCAGCACAGCAGTAGCACAGTCGTAGCACAGTCGTAGTACAGTCGGTAGAGTCGTAGTAATAGTATATGTAAGAGTAGTAGCGGGGCTTCTGCTGGGTGGGCACGACGGCAATCTCCGCTAAAGACGGCTCAGGTCCGCGGATACGTAAGAGCGAGAACAAGCTCACTCCCAGGCACAGGGAGCAAACGACTAGGCAACCCAGGTCGTCTACAACCTCATCACTTCCTCCGGAGCGGAGCATATGATGAAAACGCGTTCTGGATTGGCGCCCGGCCAGGAAGGCTGGCTCTGCTCGTTTGAGGTGATCGCGTGTGCCGGCCCGTTCAGTGGCTTTAGCAACTCTACCACATTGCTTGACCGCCATGAAGCCGCGCAAACCACGGTTTGGGGTTTTCGTTCGTGGTGTGGAGGTTTAACAGGGTTTAAGGAGGTTTGGCGTTAGAGGGCTTAGGAGGATTAGGGTTACGGGGGTTTCCGGAACACCGAAAAATCTCGAAACCAAGCTCGCTCCAAGCCCTAGACCACTCCCCCAAACCCCTTCCCCAAAAGGCAAAAGCCCTAAAGCCTAAAATCTGGACCCGTAAGGCCTAAACCCCTATAAGCCCTAGGCCCTCCCCCAAAATGCCCTAAAACTTTAAAACCCGAAAACCCGCAACATCTAAATCCTATAGCACCTTAAAGCTCTGAGACCTGAAGCAGCAAAGGTCTGCCTGAAATGCAAAGCCCTAAACCTTAGTGTTGTGCCTGTCCACTAAAGGGTTTAGGGTTTAGGGTNNCCCTGAACCCTAGACCTTGAACCCTATACACCCTAAACAGCCCTAAGCCGAGGTCTGGAATCGGCTCCAACCACTATCTGCATGACTCTGGTGATCCTTGCAAGCGCGATATTCGTTCAGTATGAGGACTCCATCTTCGGCTTTATGGTCAGGGATTGGGGTTTCGGGTTTAGGTTTAGACTTAAAGTCTAAGGTTTACGGTGTGGGCCTGAAACCTGAGGGGCTTGCGGTAGAGTTTAGGGTTTGGGAGTGCAGGGATTGAGGGTTTACATAGGAGGGGCTTGGGAGTTTAGGGATCTAGGTCTAGTGCAGAGGATATCCATGGGTACATCCGAGATCCTACAGCCAGGAACCCCACGGCAGGATCCTCAAAGCAGATCTGCTTGAGATTCCATCGGCGCTCTTGGCTTTTTCAGGGATTCAAGCACAGGGTGTGATGTTACCCTAAACCCTTAACACTCAACTTGCCAAGAAGCCTGACCGAGTTGCACGACTAAGACACTTCTGCTCCTGTCTTCGGGCTTCAGGGTTTAACATAGGGGCCTACCTGTGCCTACATTTTTAGTTACATAGGGGCCTAAACCACTACCAACTATTTTGGTGTTCCTCCCTATGATTTTCGTGTAATATACCCCAAGACCCTTTCTTAGTTTGTAAAGCCCCTATGTTGGGACGCTGGGCTGCCGTCAGGCCATGCCCATACCTTGCTACGACGGCCCCACATGGCGAGAGAGCAAGTACAACAAGGGCCTGTTATTTCGAAAAGCGTCTTGGAGTGTATTGTTACGATAATCACAAAAGGCACCCCCGGTCGACAAATAGTATGGGTAATTATTTATTGCGAAGTATTAAGCAGTCTCTCAAAGCTCAAGCCTTGAAACTTACTAGTGCGGGAGGATGCACATCTTGCATTACCTTAAGGACCCTAAACTATGGGAATTATGGTATGTTCCTTATTCTGGGTTACGCAGGACTTGTATCATCAACCCCTAAACCCTAAACCCTAAACCCCTATAGCTTGGGAGGATGCACTCGCCAGAGTGGGGCAGACGGACGTGTTCATCGGCATCGAGGCCTGGAGATCGGGATTTTTCTCGAAGCTGTCGTTCTTGGCGGTTCGGTTTAGGGTTTAGGGTTTAGGGTTTGGCGTGCTTCGAGGTTTTATGTTGATGGCCTGAAGGTGGTGTCTTGCGATTCCAAAGAGTTTGGGGCTCGGGTTCAGAAGACTAGGTTGCAGAGACTCAGGTTCAATTTTTCGGGGTGTTTAGTTTTCGATTGCTGAAGCGGTGTGCGGGGGTTAGGACCCGTAGGACTCTCGGCTTGTGCAGGGAGAAGCGGAATTCGGAAACTGGCTATCTTTCGAAACCAGACGTTGGCTAGCCAAGAAGCCCTCAACCCTAAACCCGAAGGCCCGCAGCAAAAGACGTCTACAACCATAAGGATACCATAAAGTTCAACCCAAAGCCCAGAATTCGGCTTCGGGTTCAGGGGGACTTGGGGCTCCATCTGGGCCCTGTTAGAAGGGTTTAGGGTTTAGGGTTTAGGGCTTAGGGTTTAGGGCTTAGGGTTTAGGGTTTAGGGTTTAGGGTTGTTGTATAATGCCTGCTTACATGTTTACAGTCATGTTGACATTCTCCGGCCAGGGAATTCAGCAACCCCTTCCAACGAGACAGCTAGTTCCCCAAACCCCAAACCCCAAACCTCAAACCCAAAACCCTAAACCCTAAACCCTAAACCCCAAACCCTAAACCCTAAACCCTAAACCCTAGAACCGCCAACCCCCCAACCAGATCATCTTCCTGAGCATCTTCATAGTGGAGATGCTCTTGAAGCTCCTCGTGCTGCGGCTCCGATACTTCCAGGCTCCTTTTGTTTGTTTAGGGGTTTAGGGTTTGTTTAGGGTTTATGGGTTTAGGGTTTATGGGTTTAGGGGCTAAACCCCTAAACCCCTGAACCCTAAACCCTAAACGCTTTAGGCTTTGGGGCTTAGTGGCCGGGCCCTAGACCCTAAACCCAAAGCCCTAGACCGTTTGGGAGCCCGAATCCTTGATCCGTAAATCCTAATCCTAGACTCCTTGTCTCCGATTGGGTTTGGCGTTACGGGTTTAGGGTTGAGGGTTTAGGGTTCAGAGTTTAGGGTTTAGGGTTTGGGGTTACGGGTTTAGGGTGTAGGCTCTCGACCTTGTTCAACAGCCCCCGATTGTATTTCCTGAACCTTCCAAACCCCTAAGACCCTACAGCCCCAATTCCAAAACTCCCAAAACCCTGAAGAATCCCTCACCTGAACCCTAGAGCCCTAACCCCAAAACTTGTGAACCCTAAACCCTAAACCCTAGAGCCCTGACCCCAAAACTTGTGAACCCTAAAATGATGCTCATACCGCACAGCGCAAAGATCTGAATCACACAAATTGGAGGCCTGCTCGGGTTTGGAGTTGCGGTTCAGGAGTTCAGGTTTCGGGTGTGGGGTTTCGGGTTCAGGTTGAGAGGGTTGAGGGTTTAGGGGTTTAGGGTTTGGGGTTTAGGGTTCGGGGTTTAGGGTTTAGGGTTTAGGTTTCAAGATTTGGGGTCTTACATTATGGAAGGTCTGGGCTTTCGGGGGTTTGCAGTTTTAGTTGAAGCTCCTCTGCGCGAAGAGCTGTGCGCAAATAGCTGAGTTTGCTTTCGCCCATAGTTTTTTTCTGCTTTTTGCATAGAAGTATCTCGTATGCACTTATGCAAGAATAGGGATAGCCGTTGACACTCCTAATAGCTGTCGCAGCTTGGGGCGGACTCCTTAGACCACAACAAAAAGGAGTTTTACAGGGTGAGGGCTTTGCGGCTCTTGACTTTGCCTATCAGAGTTTAGGTATCCAAGTGTCTTGGGGTTTGGGGTTTGGTGCCTTGTGGGTTTAGAGTTTGAGGTTTAGGGTTCAGGGCCTTGTGAGCAAACGCCAAAACCGAAACCCGCCTCCTACGTCATCTATGGCCTTCGGTCGAAACCTCTCCTATCTCCCAAACCCTAAACTCTCGAAATTCCAAAAACCCTCTATATAGGGTTCGTTCAAGGTTTACCCCGAACTCTCCGCATGGATCTTCGGGGTCTTGCCTGCTAGACGCAAGTAGTACGATGTTGGGGTTTAGGTCAGGGCTTTGCCTTCTGCTTGAACCCCTGTCGCCCGAAGCCAGAAGCGAAAGCCCTGAACCTAAACCCTAAACCCCATTATAAACCGTAAACCCTGAACTTAAACCCTAAATCCTAAACCGTAAACCCTAAACCCTGAATCCTAAGCCCTAAACCCTGAACCCTGAATCCTAAACCCTGAACCCTAAGCCCTAAACCCTGAACCCTGAATCCTAAACCCTGAACCCTGAACCCTAATCCTGGAAGCCTGTGAAGCCCCGAACTGTGAACCCTGTATTCTCGAAGGAACATCGGTAGTTCTATGCAGGGCCATAAGTCAGTCAACTACAGGGGAGGGGAGGGGAGGGGAGGGGAGGAGAGGGGAGGGGAGGGGAGGGGAGGGGAGGGCAGGGTTATAGTGGCAAGTAGCTGCAACCTGGGTAAGGTAGTTTCGCCTCCAAGCAGCGTTTTCAGGAGTTGAGTAATGTTCTTATATATATATATATACCCATCATTTTAACTGCCACTCGCATGACCGTGGCCCACGCCCACCATGCCAACGCGCCACAGTGCCTTGATGCGAGGGGCTGTCGAACGTGTTCGATTTCTTGCTGGTGATCCTGGGAATTGCGGGCGTGGCGCTTCACTTTGCGAGCTACTGGTCGAAAACACCTAAAGCCCTACACCCCTCAAGCCTAAAGGCCTAGACCCCTCAACCCAGAAAGCCCCTGAAGTCCTAAAGCTCTACAGCCCTTAAACGCCTAAACAGGTAAGGGCTTGAAGAAGGTCTTGCGTATTTGGAGACGCATCGAGGAAGGTTCATGGTTTCGGTCCCGCGGCTTGCTGCATTCCTGGTGTTGCTTTATTTACGAATGTCTTACGGCCACCGAATTATGTAATAGAGGGCCCTTAATAGTTAGAATAGGGTTTGGGGTATGCTACATTATGATTAGAACAAGGAACCCCAAAACCCCATTCTAATTAGTAAGGCCCCTACATAAGAGTTGATAAAGAAGCTTCGACAGAGCTCAAACTGCGAAAGGCCTGGCGAGCTGGAGATTTGCCTTTCCTTTGAAAGGCTTCTAAAGAAACAAGCACAGCATTCCAAGGTAGACGGTTTAGGGTTTAGGGTTTAGGGTTACAGGTCAAGCAGTCCTAGCCGTCCTAGCCCGAACCGCACTCTAAACTGACCTCCACCACAATTACCAACCCAAATCCCCAATTTCTACCATGTTGCCGGGCTGGGGGGTCTAATGTAGGCGGGGCCTAAATAACTACCAATACTATTTTGGGCGTTCCTTATTATAACTATAGTATCAACCCTGTTCTAATTATTAAGGCCCCTATGTTACAGTCGAGGCCAGCAGCAGAGCGAGACTGGGACGGCGGACCTGAGCACGGAGGGGAAGCCCTTTGGCGGTTTCGGGTTTAGGGCTTAGGGTTTTGGGTTTGGGCTTGCTTCAGGGTCCGAAGTTTGGTGGCGTTTTCTATAGGAGTTGCAGGGATAGAGATTATAGGTTTTTTTCGGGTTTAGGGCTTTAGGGTCCGAGGTTTTATAGGATTTAGTGGTTTGGGGTTTGGGTTTTAGGCTGGTTCAGGGTTTTGGATTTGGTAGTTGGGGGATCGGGTTGAGGATTTAGGGTTCAGACAGGTCTTTGGTGCGGGGTTGGAGTTTGGGACCCTAAACCGGCAACGTCCTATCTCCTCGTCTAAGCTTTGAAGATGTAACGATCAACCCCAGTATCCCAAGGCAGAAGCCGCCGTTTCAAGTTTCTCGCCGCTTTCTTGAGAACCCTAAACCCTAAACCTTAAACCCTACACCCTAAACCAGCTGTACTTTCAGGGCAGGATATCCGAGAGCGATGTCCTTAGGTTTCGGGTTTAGGGCTTTAGGGTTCAACATAGGAACCTGATCAAGAAACCTTGGGCCCTTATTAGGGTTTCTTTATCTGGATCCTAATATTTTTATTAGGGTTTCCTTATATTGGATCCTACTATTTCTATTAGGGTTTCTTTACATGGGTCCTAATATTTTTATTAGGGTTTCTTTATATGGATCCTAATATATTTGGGGGTTGTAGGACCAGGGTTTCTTAACTAGGTTCCCATCTTATCCTCACGCCAGCATTCCTTACTAAGGTGCCTTGATTTTTCGAGCTCTGAAGTAGCTAGCAAATTTCAGCATTAGGCCATTATGCGCCACAAAACCCCTCTCACTGTTCAGGCCCAAAATTCGACCCCTTAAAACCCTCAAAAGCCCTGTGCAACCCGAAAGGGATCCCGAGGAAAATTTGACCCCGAATTACAATGGCTCGGTTTTTGCAAGCTAAGGGTTTAGGGCTTAGGAGTTTAGGGTAAACCCTAAACCCTGACTTGCTTTGTGCAGGTTGCTGCGAACCACGCAGACCTTCCGCGTCTTCCGGCTTTTCCGTGTGCTCCCCGCACGCACCAAGCACAGGACTTCGTGTGTCCTACGATGAAGGGAATTAGGGCCTAATTAGGGTTTAGGGTTTTGGGTTTAGGGTGTAGGGTGCAACAACTGACTTATAGGGCATTCAAGGTAATTACTTCTCACTTTACGTACTACGCCCAATTGGATGGATGCCACTGCCTTTCTCGGGAAACCTAGTGGAAGGTCAGCAAGAGCCGGCATCGCAGAAGAGCCCAAAGCCCTGAACACGAAACCCGAAACCCTCAACCCAAAGCCCTAAACCGGAAACCCTGAACCCGAAGTTCGAAACCCTAAACCCGAAGCCCTAAACCCGAAACCCTATATAGACCCCAAACCCGAAGCCCTAAACCCTAAGCCCTAACCCTATAACACTTCACGAGCTCTGAGGTTCCGGCTCTTCCGCATGGCGACCGTGTTGAAAGCAAAGCTCGCCGGACGCGGCACGCTGGAAGCTTCCCAGCATCTGCATACCATGGCCGCCTGGATCTAAAGGCTTTTATAGGGCTTTAGGGTTTCGGTTTTTTTGGTTAAAAGTTTTGGGATTTTTAGGTTTTGGGTTTTAGGGTCATAGTTGTTTTTGTTTTGTTTTTGGTTTTCGGGTTGTTTAGGTACAGAGGTTTGGGGTTTAAGGTTTGATGGTGTGGGTTTTGGATCTCCCCGGATGCATTGGTACAGGCCGTAAGCAGGGTTTCATACAGAGTCTTCATGGTTTTCATTGGTTGTATGGTGTGTTCGTCACAGGTTTCGATATTCAGGTTTGAGAGGGTTCTGTACTGCTAGGAGCTTTGCAGCTCTGTCTTTAGAGGGTGTTGGTGGCGTTTCCGTGGAGTCTTTACACGGCTTCGACAGTGTCCAATATGCAGACCTCACAAAGGCATATAATGGTACATGCAGTTGTGTCGGAGTTGATCATGATGAGGCTAATTCTCCATAAACCTCTGCAGAAACAATGCAGAATTACGGCGACCCTTACTGTACCCCCTACCATAAGCCCTAACCGGCGCATCAAAGACCGTCTCAACGCCCTAAGCTGAGGCTTTGCTTGACGGGTTTGTGCTCGCGCACATCCGTGCGCAGAAGGCTATGGTTCACTTCTTCTGTCATCGAGGCCCAGTTGTGTTGGGGAGTTTAGGGTTTAGGGTCAGGGTTTTTCGTAGTATCTGGTTATTGCTAGCTGCTAGCAGCTGCTAGCACTACCATCACGTTGTTGTTATCCTTTAAGTTAATTGTAACATTAAATAGGTTAGTTAATAGCAGCCAGGTGGTTTAGGGTCTGGGGGTGGGGCTAAGAAAGTATCTCTGGCACGTACGGCTACGACGATGCGACGGTTACGATGTCCTCAACCCTAACGAGCCGTAACCCCCTAAACCCAAAACCCTAAACCCTTAACCCTAAACCCAAAACCCTGAACCCTAACCTCTGAACCTTATCTTAAGGTCTGAGGGTCTCTCGCAGGGGGCGCATTTAGGGGTTACGGGTTTAGGGGTTCCGTGTTGTAGCATGTAGGGTTGGGATCTATGGCGACCATCGTACTACTAATGATATGGTTGATGATATAACCCCTGCATTACCTGTAATTACCTTTAATAAGGAACATACCGTAATTCCCACAGTTAAGGAGGCAACGAAAGTGCTTCAGCGCCATTTCTACCTGCAATACAAGAAGCCGACCACACTGTATGAGACACCAATATCCCTTAATTAAAGAAAATATACCTTAAAACATGTTAGGGATCCTATTATAATTTAAGGCATACACCCTAAACCCTAAACCCCCAAACCCTAAACCCTAAACCCCAAACCCTAATCCTAAACCCTAAACCCCTAAACCCTACTAACTATTGAGAACAACACCATCGGGGAGCACGGCTCTTCCCTCTCCAAGTATGGCCCTCAGCTCTTTCCCCAAAGTCTCAGAGGCCTCTCAGAAACCCGAGCCATAAAAGCCGTAAATCCTGGACCCTGAACCTCTGGAGTTTAGGGTTTAGGGTTTAGGGTTCTATATTCACTTTAAGACTCTCCAAGTTCCTACAAAACCCCTTACGGAAAGATCCGATCCGAACGCCATAAACCACCGCCAGGTCGCGTTGACAGCCGGGAGGTTTGTAGGGTCATCGTCCAGTCACAGATCCAGGCGCGCTTGACTTCGGTATCAGGGGTTACGGTTCGGGGTGATTCACGCGGTTTGTATTTTTCTTGTTGATAATAATATAGCGGCCTTAAAAAATTAGAACAGGGTGTTGGGGTACATTATACTATGATTATAATAAGGAGCCGCCGAAACCCCATTCTAATTCTTAAGGCCCCTACATTACCAGGGTGCTTTTGGGGCTTGATGGGGTTTGCGAAGGTGTTGAAAATGGGGTTGTCGGTCCCTAGCCCCTACAGTCCAGACACAAATCGCTGACAGACGCTGAACCCGATAGTAGAGGCGCCTGAATAATCACCAATACTATTTTGAGGGCTCGTTATTTTAATTATAGTACAATCTGCCCCCCCAAACCCTGTTCTAAATAGCAAGGCCCCTACATTACAGCCCAAAACACCAAGAGCAGCCCAAACCAGGATTCTATGATTCTAATTGCAGCAAAATATACCCCCTCATTAAAACCCTATTCTAATTATCAAGGCCCTTATATTACCCTAGACCCCCCAACCAAAATATTCTATTCTACTTACCAAGGCCCCTATATTACCCTAGACCCCCCAACTACAAAACCCTATTCTACTTACTAAGGCCCCTATATTTACCCTAGACCCCCCAACAAAAAAAACCTATTCTAAGTATCAAGGCCCCCAAAATAACCCTTGACCTTGATAAGAGTGGTTGCGCAGGATAGAAGCCCAGAGTGGGTGGGCTTAATTAGCTTCGGAAGCGACCCTAAACCCTAAACCCTAAACCCTAAACCCTAAACCCTAAACCCGGTTTAGGGCGGGGCTGAGGGTTCAGGTTCTGGGTTTGAGGCTTTGGGGATCCCGGCTCATGGGCTCCTGGGGCTTGGGGCTTTGGGCTTAGGATGTAGGGTGTAGGGCTTAGGGCTAAGGGGTTTGGGTTTAGGGGTTTAGGGTTTAAGGCGGGTTTAGGGTGTAGGGTTTATGGTTTAGGGCTTAGGGCTTTGGGAAAAGGGTTTAGGGCTTAGGGTTGTTAAGGGTTTAGGGCTTAGGGCTTCGGGCTTAGGATTAGGGCTTAGGGTTAAGGGTTTAGGGCTTAGGGCTTATGGTTTAGGGTTTAGGGCTTAGGGTTAAGGGCTTAGGGCTTATGGCTTTGGGCTTTGGGCTTTGGGCTTTGGGCTTTGGGCTTAGGGCTTTGGGTTTAGGGCTTAGGGCTTAGGGCTTAGGGCTTAGGGCTTAGGGTTTAGGGCTTAGGGCTGAAGGTTTAGGGCTTAGGGTTTAAGGTTTAGGGCTTAGGGTTGAAGGTTTAGGGCTTAAGGTTTAGGGCTTCAGGGTTTAGGGTTGAAGGTTTAGGGTTTTAGGGTTTAGGGTTTAGGGACCAAGTCTCTCCCACGAGCTTGTCTTCGCCTTCGCCCTCCAAGTCGTGGAGGCGGCTGCCCATGTGGGCCAAAGCCACCTGGGCCTCCTTCAGGTCGGCAGAGAAGCGGTCCTGCGCCAGCTTCGTGTCATAGATGAGAGTCTCCAAAAACAAGGGTTGCCTTGTTTTGGTGTCTTTATTATAAGGATCCTACTATTTAGGGTACTATATTAGGGTCCCCTATTTTCGGAAACCCACATATACTAGAACGTAATAAAACATACCATCAAGCACCATGGGATACTATGCTATACTATACTATACTGTACTGTACTGTACCATGCATTACGATACTCTACTATTTTTACTTCAGTATACTATACTGTGCTATACTATATATACCTTACAGCATACTATAAGTTATTACACTGTGTTATACTCTAGGTAGCTTCCCTAAACCCTAAACCCTAAACCCTAAACCCTAAACCCCGGTCCTGCTCCAGCTTCTTGATGTAGTTCTTCAGCAGGCGACGGCAAGCCATGTAGAAGATGCCCACACTGCCGGTGACAAACGCGGGCACGAGCAGAGCACGAGGACCCGGAATCACGTTCTCCATGTAGATCCCAATAAGGCCTCCGACTTAGGATTTAGGGCTAGGGCTTAGGGTCAGATCCCACCAAGGCGTTTGATCTTGAAATAGAACCCTTTTCATATCCTTTCATGGAACCCGTATGGTAGCTTTTATAGAAGCCCATGTCGGATCCCAATAAAGCCTTCGAGGTAGGGTTTATACGGTTCAGGGTTTGGGGTTTAGAAAGAACCCTTATAGTAGGTGGGCGCGCCTTATTTTCCCTGGCTCTTTCCTGTGTTTCTTGCACATAGAGGGCGCTATCGTGTGGGTTTTTGCACATAGGCGGCATTCTTGTGTGTTTTATCGTGTTTTGTTTGCATTTTCCTGTGTTTTCCAGTCCGTTCCAACAGAGCATCCATGTCCCAACCATGTTAACGTCCACACAAAGTCCGTCCGTTCCCACAGAGCATCCATGCCCCAACCATGTTAACGTTCACACAAACTCCGTTCCCACAGAGCATCCATGTCCCAACCATGTTAACGTCCAGACAAAGACCGTCCGTTCCCACAGAGCATCCATGTCCCAACCATGTTAACGTCCACACAAAGTCCGTCCGTTCCCGCAGAGCATCCATGTCCCAACCATAATGAGTTTCTTGGGCGCTTGAAGTTGCACAGATTTGGACTTCTAGAAGGATTATTTTTTTTAAGGCCCCAAAACTAGCTTATGCTCAAAAGCCCCACGCCTGCCACGTAAAGCAAACCTTTGAAGCAGCCCAAACTACCAGTGACAAAAAAGCGCGACAACCTTATAGTAACCCTTACAAGAACTAGAAACCGCATCGGATCCTAATACGGCCTCCAAACCCTAAACCCTATACTCTAAACCCTAAGCCCTATAAACCCTATAAGCCCTAAACCCTATAAACCCTATAAGCCCTATAAGCCCTATAAGCCCTACAAGCCCTATAAACCCTATAAACCCTATAATAAACGCTATAATGAACCCTTTGATAAACCCTTTAATAAACCTTTGAATAAAACCCTACCAGTATAATGCACCCTTTAATAAACCCTCTAAGCCCTAAGCCGGATCCCAAGAAGGCCTCCGATCAGGTAGAAACTCCACAAGCCTGCCAGGACGGCCAACTTCCTCGCATCCACGCCAATCTCAGCACGGTCGATGTCGTTCCTAGGGTTTAGGGTGTAGGGCTTTGGGTTTAGGGTTTAGTCCATGGTTCAGGGTTTAGGGTTGGCTGGGGGAGTATTGATAACTTTTGTTGAGTCTGAGTAGCCATAAGACTTGGAAAATGTTACCCAACTATGACAAAGATTCAGGGGTGCACAACGACAAGCCTTCCGAAGGTAGATCATGCTGATGCGGCCCATTGTCGAGCCAATGTCAGTGACCGTCCCAGTGACATGTGTTGTGCGGATGATTGCGCCGAAGTGCGACGTGCACATGGCATTCTGCAAGCCACAGGCCGCCGAGACAAAGCAGGCTGGCACCAGGCGACCGGGGATAAATGCCGCCGTGATCAGAAGAGCCGAGTTGAGGACAAGAGCCAGGCCATAAAATGCCTTGCCCATGAAATGCACTTGATTCTTGTCGATGAGGATCCCACAGGCATATGCCCCTACCAGGAAGGACAACACCAAAGAGCAAGCCTCCTTCAGGGACTCAGAGCCGTACTCACCTTGTTGGTAGCCCTCCAGTCGGAAGGCCATGTTGGACGTACTGCCTGTCACATGGGATGCATAGAGCATCCAGCACTTGAAACCAATTGTGTTGGCAGCGCCCGCACATGCAGCCAAGCACCAGCCAAAGCCCGTCACCCAGAATTTCGGTCGCTGAAAGCTCTTACGGATGGTCGCGGCTCTCTCACGGATCCTCATTGTGGAGCTCGACTGTCTCGACAAGCGAGAAGGGGAGAGTGGCGCCTTCTCCTGCGGAAGAGCCTGCGTCATCTTGCTTGGAGACTATCGAACAGAAGCTGTCTGAGTCAGTCGTATGCTGCTCTTTTGAGTCCAAATTTAGGAGACAAGGATTACCCCAAGCGTCCAGTACCTATATAGTATACACCTCGGCTAAGCGCAGGTTCCTGAGTAGTAACTTTGGGGCCGATGTAAAGACATGTCATGTACCACGTAGGTACATGGATGTGAGAGTTCGGGGTTTAGGGTTTAGGGTTTAGGGTTCGGCATACCACTCTGAATTCTCGGTGAACTTGTACATGACCTGGTTGGAAACCCATTCACTCAGATGTGGGTCGTGAATTTCCACCTCGATCCATCTATGCAGGTCCAGGAATGCTGACAGCAGCTCATGGGTGCTGAATTCCCAGAGACTCCAATACCCCTTAATTAAGGAATAGACCTCAAATCATATTAGGGATCCTACTATAAGTTAAGGTATATTCCTTAATTAGGGGATATTGGAGTCTCTGGGTTGTTTCATGGGCCTCGGAACGTTAAGGGTCGCAAAAAACCCGAATACTCATGCTCCATGCTGTTGGGTGTAGTTACGGGCGTCGGAATTAGGGCAGGGGGTGCGCTGTGGCCTTTGTGAATTTTGTGCTGCTCGTGCGTTTACCTTAACCCCAAACCACCTGCCCATTTACGAACTATGCAAGGAAATCATAGGAAATTGCCCCGGCCCTGTGAGGACACACGAGGACACGACTGGAAGGACCAGAAGAATGTAGGGGGCTTAATGATTAAAAATAAGGTTTTGGGGTCCTTTATTGTATACATATAATAAGGAGCCAGCAAAACAGTATAGGTAACTATTGAGGCCCCTATATTAATAGGGCTCGCATCCCCAACCTTCTTCTGGGAGGTTTAAGTTTAACAAGCTGTTCAAGCTCCTTGAAACCTCACGCAAAGGCGAAGAAGCAGAACATCAGGATATGCTCCTGAACACGTAGTAACTTAGGGTTTAGGCTTCAGGCCTTTGGGTTTAGGGTTTAGGGGTTTAGGGTTTAGGGTTTAGGGGTTTAGGGTTTAGGTATTCAGGGGTTTAGGGTTTAGGGATTTGGGGTTTGGGGGTTTAGGGTTTGGGGGCAGCTTTCCCTAATGCGACATGAAAAGAAG